AATTGATTACGTTGGATGCTTGAATTGTTAAATGGTATCAAAACATGATATACACACGTGCTACACTCTAGGCATTGATAAATGTATTATTTCCTATATTTTGTCATGTTAATTAATATTCATAGGTTTTGTTAAAGAATTGGTCTTAGAAAACTTTATTACTTTTTTTTTTTTTTCAATTTTAGTCAATTTGTTCTATGAAACCCCATCCCGAATTTAGTGTATTTTCCTATTAATGGACTTATGAAATAACCTTTTTACCCTTGAGTTGATTTTGTTTGACCGTCTTGTTGAAACGTGTAGTTTTCATTTTATTAAATGATTCTTAACGTACTTATCGCCATGAACGCGTAGGCACAAACAATTTTAAATTCGGATTTATAACGAAGATTTTATGTGAGCCATGACATTGTTTTGGAGCCATATGTGAGCCATTTTTCGGATATTTTCGTATTTCATCTTTAGTGACATTGTTTTGTGAGCCATTAGGGCCCACATGTTTCCCCTTGTACCCATGAGCCCCCCCCCCTTTTCTGAAAATATCAAGCTCTCTCTCTCTCTCTCTCTCTCTAAACACTCACACTCTCTTAAACTCTTTCCCTCAACTCTCGCCCCTCCTCCTTCCTTTCTCAAAAACTACCCTCCCCGAGGGTACTACACCTATAACAACAACAACATCAATGACACCACCACCACCACCACCTGCTCCTTGGTTGAAACCACAAGCTTAAAACGAACAAGGAACCCTCCAAACACCTCCTCTATCACTGCACAATGCAGTTGCACTGTTCACTGAGTTTTCCGACGAATTTCCACATTCTCCGGCAAAGGTAAGCCTTGAATCTCTTCCAAAAGTTGTAGATCATGTCTTCGTGTATGTTTGAAAGTAGTTTTGAGAAGTTTTGGTGATATTTGGACGTAGGAATCTCACGGGGAAAGCTTCGCAAATTTTTTGGCGAAGCACCACGACTTTCGAGGCAATTTCCAACCAAACCACGACAAGTTAGCTGTCATGCAAGGTACCATTCTCTTCATCTCGTTGAGTACTACAAATTTGATTTTTGAATAACTTAATTTGGTTGAGTATTGGAGAAGTTATGAACGTTTAAAAATATGCCCAGAAACCGGCCACTTTGGCCTGAAAATGGGTCGACCCGACCCGATAAACCTCAACCCAAATTCCTTTGGGCCAGGTCACCCAACCCAGCCCAACCTTTTAACCTTAGCCCAACCAAAGTGAACCGGCCCAAAACCCAAAACTGGACCGACCCAAACCCTGAGCCTAGCCAACGCATGGGCTTGTGCGTGGGCGCGCGTGAGGGCGAGCCTTGGTCGGCACGTTGAGCACACGCGCCTCCACCTGAGGTATTGTGCTCTGCCGCCGTAGACGGCGACGCCAGTGACTTTTTCGGCCAACTTTCCGGTGACCTATCTCAACGCATGGCCGTCAGGGCCACCGCCTTGTGGCCGCGCATGCGGTGGCATGTGGGGTACCCGAGGTCCCCCCTTATGTTTTTAGATGTCTTAAATCCGTTTATGACGTCCGTTTTCAGAAATTCAATCGTTATGGTAGACTTTTATTAATTGGACCCTTTATGTGCTTAGGTGCAATTATTAGCGGCGTTTCCATCCCTCCTATTCCGCACGGCTCTTCGATGACGGAGTATTTGTGAGTGGACCCCTTCTAAAATGCATATTTTACCATTAGAAATGCATAAATGAAAAGCATGATTTATTGATTACGTTTTCTAAAACGTTTATGAGTAAATTGGATTTACGCTTTATTACATTCAAGCTTTATTGATTTTATGTTCTTTGTCGTATATATGATTGATGACTATATACTATGAAGATGTTTTAAGATATGATATTTGAGCTACCGAGCTCCGTTGAGATATCTGTACTTATGTTTGGAAAGATTATGTTCAATGATTTTGTGCTTATCTAGTGGTCACTCTTCTGCCTACGAGAAATGATACTTATATTGGCTTTGGCCGGGGGTAGATTGGTGGCTTCGGCCAGGAGATACTTATATTGGATTTGGCCAGGCGTAGGTTGGTGGCTTTGGCCGTAAGATACTGATATATGATACCACTACATAGCACACTATATAGATGTATATATGTTTTATGAAGGTTTTATGGCATGCTAGGATTTTCGGAAAACCTATTACATATTATACTACTGAGTTTTCATAAACTTTGGGGGTTAGTACGTTGTTGAATAACTGTTTTAGTATTACATATATATCAACTTGGTCTACTCATGTTTTGTTTTTCACCCCCTTAGGATATAGGAACGAGGCATAGAATTCGAGCTACGAGGCATTCCCCTACCAGTGATTTTGTGTTGTCCACTCTGCTTTTGACATCACTTGTAATAACACCTTCTGCTATACCTTCCCCTTGTATTCTGAATTAGATGTATGCTCTGAACATGTCATGAATTATCACTATCATTTTATTTGACGACTGAATATTATTATATTATTTTGGTAAGGTTTATATTTGAATATTACATTGTGTAGTTCGCGGGGAATTTATATGCATGTTTCACATGTTCTCAGCATATGCATTCATTAAATGGCTTGTGTCATCCTCAGGTGTCATGTACGCTTAAGAGGCTTTTGATGGTAAATGGACTTTCCGTAGGAGCTTTGGTGCAAGGCCAATTGGAGGACAAAGTTAAGAGGCTGAAGATCTATGTGCCTAACTTTCATAATTTTCCATGAATCCAATTGTTCCAATTCCACAAATCAGTCCCGTGAAAGTTATATTCCTGTAGGAACTTTGGTGCAGGGCTAATTTGAAGTCTTTCTCGATTTTTGGTAAACTTGATTTTAGTTTTCAAAAGCACTTTGACATATCTTAGAAGCATTTTTTTTTTTTTTTGAAAAACACCTATCACTGAGGGTGGGCAACAGAAGGGTCGGCTCAGATTTAACCTCAACCCACTGGCCGATCAAAGGGTGTCGGTTTGACAATCATCCAAACCATTGCCGGCAGGAAAAATTGGTTGACTAACCCACCCGGCCCAATAATTAGTGGGTTGGGTTGGGTGGTTTGGTGGGTTGAGACTTGGAGTGAGGGATAAGGGGAGATTACATAGAACAGTAAGGGAGGAGTAAGTAGTTGTGGTTGCACGCTAAGCTTAGAGAAGCATCGGATGCAAGAAAGACTGTAGGAGAAATGTCTGTAATGGAGGTTTTTATTTGTGAATTGATGCAGTGTGCTAGTATATTAATCACAATATTTTGCTAGTCTTGAAATTAAGCCAACCCAAGCATGCCAAGTGTAAAGTCAAAAATAGTAGTTGACCAAAAAGAAACTCAAGTGGTAGATAATAGAAATCCATCATTGGCTAAACAATCATTTGGTTATGCCATTTTGGGCTTTGCTCTAACCGAAGCTATTGCATCGTTTGCCCTAATGATGGACTTTTTATCTCATCTATATTCCAATCGAGGTTGAACTTTCATTCCTACAACTATCTTTTTGAAGCAAATAGTTCACAGTGCTCATTCTATAGATACTGTAAAAGCCAACTTCGTGAAGGAATTTCCAATAGGGATGAGAAAGAGCAGTGGTTGACAATCATTTGCCAATTCTCTCCTTTTCCTTTTCCTCTCAAAAAAAAAAAAAAAAAAAAAAAAGGCTCGCTCTATACTTCTGTCAATTGCAACAATTGAGGAAACATGGGCAAATGGGTCAGGTTCGAATGGGTTGTTAATGTTGAAAACCGACCTCAACTATTCCCTCCAACGGGTTATGTCCTAAGTTTCAATTTTTAAGAGTGTAAAACCGACCCAACCCAACTTATCATAGGTGGGTTGGTCGGTTTGGGTGGGTGACCCATGAAAATGCCCACATGCTTTTCAAAAAGAAATTCCAAGTGTTTTCTTTAACAAGCACTTAAACTTCTAATAAAAACTTCAAGCACAAGCAAATAAGCTAAAAAATACTTCATAAAGCATTCACAAACCAGCTTTTAGACTTACCCAGTGCGTATTCCTACGTATTGCTTCGTAAAGCCTATGTGTAGTTGACCAAAAACAAATACGGGAAATTTTATTTGAACTTATTTAACCTCTTTCTACACCCAACTTACTTTCTTCACCCATATTGTTTTTTTATTAAAGAATTAATTTCTCTTTAAACCCAAATTTATTACCTAAACTACCCTCTTAAACCCAATTCAAAATGTAAAGTTATATGTACACCTACTCCTTTTATAAAATAACATCTCTAATTGAATTTTTTTTTCTTCAAAGAGGCGCCCTTTGCCCCTATATAATTGCATATGACTAGCATTTTCATGGCTGCTTTTTTTCTTTCTACTACCAAACCCATCCATAGACTTGGGATCCAAGAGATCCTTCCATAGATTTGAATTTTCCAGAGAATGCAATGCAAGCTCCAGTTCAGTCCATCACTTTGCTAGAAACATTTGACCTTGACGCTTTGGATTTGGATGGAGACAGCCACCTGCTAGTTAGTGGTCAAGGTTTATGTGGTTGGGCAATCTTTATTTGCACCAAGAATCAAGTTATATGTCTTTGCACTACTAATCAAAAGTCCTTGCAATGGTGTTTTGGGGCGTAGACAAACGACAAAGAAAAACAAATACAATATAATATAATAAGTATGAAACTTAATCCGAAGATGAAGCAAACAAATAAAATATTCATAGATCGAGTCATACCTTAGTTGGAAGATTCAAAACTTCAAAATCACCATTCATTAATAGAAAAGCTTATTTTTCTCTATGAGAACTATTAGGGTTTTAACCGGAATGAACGTATGATAAACAAATGATGATGCAAAGGTTTAATTATAGTGTTTGGGTTTATTGAGAAATTTAAGTTTTATTATTAATTTCATTTTGTACTTAATAGTAATTATGCAATAGAGTAAAATAGATAATTAACATTTAAAATTTAAATTAGGTGTAAAAAGAGGTTACACGTTTAATTAAAATTTCCCAACAAACACAGGATTACAAGTCAAAATTGACCCTCAAAAACCCTAACGGCCCATTCCCAAAACCCCACTCTTCTTCTTCGGCTACAATTTTTCACAGAGCTACCAGTATTGATTATTGAACTTGCATCGCAGTTAATCTGACTCTCGGAAGTATCAATCTCGCCAATTTTAACAGCGAAAGACAATGGAAATTGACAGAGTCGACGGACGCACACCAAACCAGTTGAGACCATTGGCTTGTTCTCGCAGCGTCCTCAACCGCGCTCATGGCTCTGCAAGTTGGACTCAAGGTTCTTACTTCACCTCAAAATCCACATATATTCTCTATCTGCGCAATCTGGCCATTCTGCTCTGTATTTTTAGCTTGTCTTCTTCAATGGGCTGGCCGCCTTTTGGAATATTATTGCTACTGAAATTCTGTTTTTATTCAAAATTGCTGAAATGATCGGTTTTTCACGTGATCAATATTTAATTGATATGTCGTCGGTAGAGGTGCAAATCAACCTATTAGATTGTTAATGGGTAATCATCAAAACCCCTTTTTGGTTTGATTACGTAATATGGTGGTGAGATTGGTAGTGGTGATGATGGTGTAATACACCTTCTTATAGTGAAATCAAAGTACACCTGTCTTAATGGTTACCTAATAACAATCTAATGTGTTGATTTGCCACCTCTGTCATCCATATTTAATTATGATAAGTCCAACAGTTGAGATTTGGTTTCTGATTATTTTAACTGATTGCCCAATTTAGTTGATACTTTTTTCTGGGTTTTGGCTAAAATTTGGAGTTTTATTTTCTTTAACAGTGTTTATTATTGGTATTGATATTTATGTTTAGGTTTGTTTTGTTGGTTTTTAACTTTCTATAGGAGATACGAAAGTTCTTGCTGCTGTTTATGGACCTAAAGCAGGAACAAAGAAGAATGAAAATCCCGAAAAAGCTTGCATTGAGGTTATTTGGAAGCCTAAAACAGGCCAGAGTGGTGAGTTTTCGCCCCTACTGACTTACTCTTATTGCTCTGGACTGGACAATGTGTACATAGAGTGCGGCGAATTCTGTTCTTTCTGTTTAATTTGAACATTTTTTTTGCATGATATAGGAAAACTTGAAAGGGAATATGAGATGATATTGAAGAGGACCTTGCAAAGCATCTGCATACTGACTCTAAACCCAAATACCACAACCTCGGTCATTGTTCAGGTGAGGTGATTTTATTTGTATGAAAAACATTATGTCCGAATCGTAGGCATTGTTTTGCAGAATCAAGTAGTAGATCACTTTAAGGACATGTTAAATTTATGAGTTTTAAAGGGCCTGTGGTGCTAAATATGGACATTGGCCCTTGTTATGTAGACAGGTAAAAGTTTCCAGGAAGTGTAACTGTGGTTTGGCTTTTGAGCCTGTGCATAGAAATGCATCCGCCAATTATAAGTCGTGTATTAAAGAGACAGGCTAGATTATGTAGTTTTTCCAACCCGTAAGATGAATAGCTATGCAAAACCAGTATACTAATTGTTGTCTCCCTAAATGTTGATTTTGTTTGAAGTTATGTACATCTAGTAATATAGGCTCCCATCTCTTGTTTATCTTCATGTATGCGACTTTGACCTTTTTATACACCCAGTAACTGAGTCACCGAATACTTCTTCAGTTTCCTTGGGTATTTGTTATTAACTCGTTTACAACTATGGTCAAGTTATCATCCATTTGTTTAAAAAGTGTTATGTTCTGCTGCAGGTTGTCAATGATGATGGTGCTGTATCCTTAAACGTTTTGCATTTTTTGGACATTAGGAGTTCAGCAGTTTTAATAGGCATATTGAAGCTTCATTTTTGACATTCATTAAGCGTCCTTTTGCCAGTTTATTCTTTCATTGTCTCTGTTTGGCCTGGGAGTATAAAAATAATTATAAAACCTTGGGGTGCTGCCTGCTGGTAGTGTTGTTATTCTCTGGGTGCCTTTCTCTTTCTCTCTGATCCTAAATGACGGCATTACAACGTCCCTTGGAGGTTAAATCAGTTAATCGACAAAATCGGACTAGTCTTCTATGTCAAAGCTCAGGATTCTCAGCTCCTCAGGTAAAAGGTATTTTAGAACTCCCATGGAGTGAATTCATGTTACATAAGGTTCCATGCTACACAAGGAACAAGTATTTTTTTTTTTTTTTTTTTTTATGAGTTGAATAACCTCGAGGCATGCAATATCTTGTTTGACATTTGCACATATCCAAGAACATGTTAGCTTCTCCCTTTCTTCTTTGTTATCTTCTTTACGTGTTGATACAAGTAGAAGTACCTTAACAACTACGTGTATAGCTTCTCCCATGTGCCATAAATGCAGCGTGTGCTGCCCTTGTTGATGCTGGGGCTCCTCTAAAACATCTTGCTGGTAAATGAGACCTATGTTTTGCTCTTCTATCCTTCGTTTGATGAATATTTCCTGAGGTGTTTTTATGCTTTTTGCAGTTGCCATATGTTGTTGCCTGGCAGAGAGCGGATACGTCATTTTGGACCCCAGCAAGCTGGAAGAGCAGGTTTTTCTTAGTTCATCTCTATAAACATCTAATTGTAGTTCAATTATACTCCAAAATTCTATAGCTTCTTTAAGGAGGATCGTATTAGCACATACATGTCTTCGTTACATATCCGTTTTCTTTAAGGCAGTGAGGCACCAAGCTATAAGCTTTCCAGAGTTATAGAAGCTGGGTTGTTTTCATATCTAAATGTGTGCACGTGCTAAATGCAGTTATGTTGGTATAAGTTGAACCTATGTACTCCATCCTTAACCCTTCCCTTAACCTGTTTCTTTTACGGCACATCAATCTCTGTATGTGAGATGTTTGAATTTGTGTATTTTCGTTGTCTCTATATTGGTAATACCTTGAACTATGACTCGTTGCGCCCTCAACCCATACCTTACCTAGTGATTCACAATCTTTGGCATTACGTATTTCTCCATCCTTAATGGTGTTTGAATTTGTAACGGCAGAAAATGAAGGCGTTTGCGTACTTGGTCTTCCCAAACTCTCTCACAATCCTTCAAGAAGGAGGATCACAGGTGGGAGGTGAACCCATGGAGCACGGGATCATCACCTCGGTGACCCAGGGAGCAATGTCAGGTATTTACCACTCTTCATCTTCCCTCTCTAATCTAACAATATGGGAAATTTCTTGGTGTTTTATGCTATACTGGTTGTGTTAGTAAGATTTACGATACTTGATCCAACCAGTCCTCACTCTATGTTTTTCCAGTCGACGACTATCTTCACTGTTTAGAACGAGGGCACGCTGCCACTGCAAAGATGTCTGCATTTCTCCAAAAGAGCTTGCAACCACTGCTATCAGATGGTTGAATTTGAATCTACATCCTGGAGATTTCGTGTAGCATAAAGTCTCTGTGGCTAGATTTCGCAGCTCTACTCGATTATCTTGAACCCCTATGTAAAAACATTTTTTGTACTCCACTGTATGAACCTACAGATCAATGCAATACGGTTACTTTCAATGTAGCCCTTTTGTTACTTTTGGAAGAACAAAAAATTAGTGGTTATAATACAGCAGTAATTACTCTTATCAAAAGCACCATTGCAGAATAACACATGATTAATTTCGAATAATCAGCATTACATTGGTAGTAATTTTGTATAATACATACATAAATCCAGACCCAGCAAAATGAACCCAAAATAAAAGGGGAAGTCTATGCGCACCAAGTGTTTGATAAAATGTCGCAGAGAGCGACTGTTTTTTTTCACTTCCGTGATGGCAGGGGAGAGGGAGAGAAAAGTCGGGCTACGTATTCCTGTTGCTCGCGGAAGCGTCGTTTGAGGAACGTTTCGAGGATCTCCATGACGGAGACGAATCGTTTCATGTCTTCCAGGCGACGGCTGAGCTCCGCCTCACGAGCCCTGGCTATCGCCAGCCGCGCCTCCGTCTGGGCAAGGCGGCCGCGCAGATCTGCGACCGCCACCGCGTTGTCGTTCCGCGGTCGGACGGCGCGTTGTGGGGTCGGGTTGTCTCTGGAGAAGGGTGGTTGCTGACCGTAACACATGATTTGATTGATGAATGAAGGTTTGGAAAGTGTTTTTGCTGCTAAAGGAGAAGAATGAAGATTTTTATTTTCTTTTGCCAACTACATTCTACAATATCGAAATTGGGCTGAGTTTTAAAAGGGAGGACCTTGTACTTAATACATTTATTTACATAAATTATATTGATTGTTAAATACTCTATTAAATACATTTAAGTATTGTTGTCAAATTTTAAAAGAATTTATAAATTTTAAATTCTCTTTTTTTTTTTTTTTTTTTTTTAAAGAGAAGTGATTGTTGTTTTACTATGTTAAAAACAGGTAAGGAACTTTTTATTTCTTATATCTTACCTCAAAAATCATGTCTACCAAATCCAAATGCAAAACCATATTGACCGTTCGAAATTTAATATTTCTTTGTAGAGCTGTATTCATCAATTTTCCTCACTACAAATGAATGTTATAATAGTTTTTGGATTTGTCTAACTTTTTGCAATATGATCTATGAATGATGTACTAAAATACAGACTGTTTGGATCATTGAAATACATTATAAAGTAGGCCTACAAAATCGGTGTCAAAATATGTATCAAAAGCATATGTTCCCAAATCTTAAACCATTAGCAACTTCTTGCAAATATTAAAATGATATAAAAGACAGCATCCAAAAGATTCTCAATGGTCAATCCAAGGAGATTTCAACAAAACACAAAGGCCAATCAGGCCAAATTAATTGCCATCATGCTAGGTAAGGGATTTAGTTGGCGTGGAAAATTTCAGGTACTCCAATTCTCCACCAACAAATAATCTTGAACACATTGAGAAGCCTTGGACACCATCTTGGCAACAATGAGGACGGGGGGGACCTGCAAAAACACACTCTGATGCTCAAGTTAGTGTTTGTTCAGAATGCTTATAAAATATATAACGATCTTATACTCTCTTTTCCCCCCCTTTTTTCTGGTGGGATTATTAGCCTTTTTATAAGCATTCAAGTCTTGGGCTCCAAATCCCACTTTCCTTCTATTTCTCCATGTTCTACATTCCACATTCCATGAAATATCTGATTATGCTCCTTTATTTTAGCCCAACTCCTTATGTTTAGCATGCTAGTGGCTTGTTTAGTGGAGTAATTTTTGGCTCCCACATTGCCTCATTTTTTTTTTCCTGCAAACATATATAATTTAGGGTTTGTAGAGGAAAAATGTTTTCTTTGCAAAAATTCATTCGACTTGAGATATCATCATGAGTTTAGCCTTCGGCTACAGTCATAGTTTAGCTTGTGTCTACGATCATAGTTTAGCCTTTAGTTACGATCACACAGTCATAAATTATCCTTCGGCCATGATCAATTGGTTATAACTTAGCCTTCTATTACAATCTCACGATCATAATTTAACATTTGGCTATGATCATACGGTCATAATTTAACCTTCGACTACAACCAAAGGGTGAATGTTTAGCCTTTGGCTACAATCATACGGTCAATGTTAAGCCTTCGGCTACCTTAATATGGTCATAGTTTAACCTTCGGCTACGATCATAACGGTAATGTTTAGATTTCGGCTACGTTCATACGGTCATAGTTTAGCATTCAACTACGATCATAGGTGAATGTTTACCCTTCGGCTACAATCATATAGTCATAGTTTAGCCTTCGGCTATGATCATATGATATTCGACCATGGGTTTTGGGTTTTCAACCTTCGGTCTGGGGCTTTGTCTATAATTCAATCTAGGGTTCTCAGCCCTCAGTCTTGACCTTTCAGCTCTTGTTGGGTCTAGGTCTTTGGCCCACAATTTGTAATCTTCAACCACGAATTTGTACATTACTAGAATCCCTCCAAAATCCAAATGTAATGATTTGCCGTCTTCTAACAATAACTAAGCAAAAATTTAATTGTAAGCATTGCCATCGATCTACACATTCAACAAATGCTAAAGAGAAATGCAATAAGTATGAGTTTTCTTTCTTTTCTTGAGTGAAGTGATGGATGCCCCTTCGGTGCAAACTATTCATCATAAAATCAACAGATGTTGGCCATCAAGCAAAGTGTTCCCTTCTTTTTTCATTAGTGAAAGCTTGCGATTCATAGGCCTTGTAGCATTTACTTATTGGGCAACATGCGACCTTGAGGTTCTCCTGTTTTTTGCCATGGAAACGAAAGTGCATTTCCTTTGTTAAAAGCCTTGACTGCATAGTTCTTGACTATTTTTTAATCTTGTCCACTGTTTTCACCTTCTGTACTCCTTATCCTCTATTGGACAACATATAGATCAGCTTTCAATTTGCTCCATATACTTCATGTCTGATCACTAATATTACCATTCCATGACCAAAAAACGAATATGAATCAACAACAAATTGATGTATAAGATTAGCATGTGAATGACAATAATTTATCACGGATACACGAGATTAGAGAAATCAAAATGGGTGGATGTCTTGTCTGTTTTACTCCTCCATACCCAAGAAATGACAATGCAAAATTGCCATCACAAATATTGTTGACCCCATTCATGTCTTTTGGTATGCTAATCTGATCGACCAAATTGTCTAAGCCTCACTGGATTTTCCAAACTTCTAGGTATGCTACAAAATGCATTGGCTTTCACTTTTCTCAGATTATATCAATGAACAATGATTACTTTAGATGCCCCAAGAGTTATTTAGGTCTATATGCAAAAATGATTTTGGAGTTTAACTAACAAAGACTGAAATTCGTATCTGCATGTTGGGCAATTTAGAGTTCATGTCCTTTTCTAGAAGCTTTGAGTGCACGGTTTTCTATCTTTTCCAAAATCTCTATCTCCATTGTCACCCTTTTGATAGTTATAGTCCTACGCAAGCATACATGCCCCCTGCTCAATCTCGAAGTAAACTTAATGGCCAAGTTCAAAGCCAAAAGGCTACATTTTTTGTTTTCTCTGCCAATGAGAAAGCGAAAATTGCATTAATCATAAATCATGATTAAAAGAATTGAGATAGTTCTTATCTATATAATCCAAGTGCTTGGCAAATCTGACTCCTCTCACTCAGTTCTCTCCTTTCTTCATGCAGATTGCATCGCAAATGCCAGTGGTAAGCACTTGTCTCTCTGTCCAATAAAGAAGATTTCTGCCAAATAACCAAGTTGTTTTCATCCCATTATATATTCAAATTTAATAATAAGAGAAGAAAGATGCAAGCTCTTTGTGTAAGAAAATCTTTAATCCTTGTCCACAAAGGAAATTTAAAGCTTTGTTGTATAGCCTTCTGAGGAATAGTATAAACACTCATGAGTTGTTCTCAAATAATGGTCAATTGAAGAACCATCTGCCCCCATTCAATCGAGTATTCACTAGACACTTCAAATATTAACTAATCAATGGTATGGCTCATGCACCGAATATAAGTGTACATGTATAGCACCCTTACTCTGTACTATAGTAATGAAAAATCATAAAACACCATACTTACATAAAATTTATGAAATTGTAAGAGTGGGTGTAAGAATTCTTATCGATTTGGAGGCTTTAATCTGTGCCCCCATTCTCAGTTCGACAAGGACAACTAAGTACTTCAGCTTCAGCACATTGGGGTCTCTCTGATTAGCATGGCCTTATTCGTCGGAGCATTCGTGGTTGTTGGCAGTTGTGCGAATATTAGCGGCGGTTGTGATGTCTCTCTTTGAAGAAGGTTGGTGATTCTTTCTTTCTACTAGAGAAGAAACCAAAACACTAAGAAAGACATTAGGAACCAAAAAATTGTTTTCCATTATACTATTAATCTAAGTTATTTCTCATAATGTGAAAATGAAAAGAACAATGTTTACAAACTCATCCTTGCTGACTTTTCCCATGGTAAATGTTCAAAGTTGTATTGTTGGAGTCATTTTTCAATTAGAGTTAAATGACACGAAACCATCTCATAAGAAAACAAGTACATGAGTTGGACTACTCATCTTTTTATACCTTAAATAAATAGCATGATATATTACTGAAACACATCATCGAACACTTTGGCATCCCCCAAATAAGAAATGTTTATGTTTTGGACTACTGATGCACACATATGACAAGTGAGGTAGAGAATAGTATGATACTCCATAAGATTTAGCCATTTCCCCCAATTTGAGTAACCATAGACAATAATCAAAACATCTAGTCTGGGATAATATATAGCACATATAAAGAGCTTCATGCAATTACACACGATATACATTATTTGCACTTAGCCATAACGAAATCATGTAAGACATTTTTAATAATCAAATATCATGTGAAAATCAATATGGAATAGGTAAGGGGATTCATATCTTGCTCTAAAAGAGAAGGCGAGAATGTGGTCGTTGGTTGTTAGTGCACGTTTCACTTAATCATTCACAACCGAATGATATTCCTTCTTTTTTGGGCTATGAACTGATAAGAACTTTAACGCATGCCCTAATATAATTGGACAAAACCCTAGTACCAATATTCATTTCTCTGGATAAATCAGGATATGCCCCCACCTCCAAGTAAATTTGTTTTCTACAACTGCAATACGACTACATGCAATATCCGCGTCAAAGAATAGGATTCAGCACCAAATTCCACTTAGGGTTTTAACTGACTCCCTTATTGCAGCTTTGAAGAATAGTTTGTTCTTTACTCCTTAATATAGCTTTTTGTACGGTTCCCACAGACAACGCCAATTGTTGGCGCAAAAACTTTTGGGTACTCCAATTCTTCACCAACAAGTAATCTTGAACATGTTGAGAAGCCTTGGACACCATCATCGCTTGTTAACAATGAGAACGGGGGACCTACACAACAAAAACTCCAATGCTCAAGTCAGTGTTTGTTCAGAATACTTATAAAATATAGAACAATCTTATACTCTCTTTTTTCCCTTTTTTCTGGTGGGATTATTAGCCTTTTATAGGCATTCAAGTCTTGGGCTCCAGGTCTCACTTTCCTTCTATTTCTCCATGTTCCACATTACATGAAGTATCTTATTATGTTCCTTTATTTTAGCCCCACTCCTCATGTTTAGCATGCTAGTGGCTTGTTTAGTGGAGGAGTAATTTTTGGCTCCCACAAATTTCAACATCCTAGGTGATCATTTCTTTTCGCTATGTTTGGGTAAAGAATTTTCAAGTCCTAAGGGATTGAGATCATGTTATGAATGAATAGAGCAAAAAATGTTAAATATCATTTAGAAATACCCTTTATGTCCATTGCAAAGGCATGCGATATAGATCTGCTGTCACATCCTAACCCGGGCTCCACCACATCCCGGGCACGACTTCGTTATAGCATGATATTGTTCGCTTTGGGCCCCGACCACGCCCTCACGGTTTTATTTTTGGGAACTCACGAGCAACTTCCCAAGGGGTCACCCATCCTGGGATTGCTCTAGCCCAAACTTGCTTAACTTCGGAGTTCCAATGGAATCCGAAGCCAATGAGCTCCCAAAAGGCCTTGTGCTTAAGGAGGTAAGCATGTACATATAAGGCATACAGGATTCACTCCCCTGGGCGATGTGGGATCTAACAATCCACCCCTTTAGGGGCCCGACGTCCTCGTCGGCACAGTTTTGGCCAGGGATTGGCTCTGATATCAAATTGTCACATCCCGACCCGGACTCCACCACATCCCAAGCACAACTCAACTAAAGCACGATATTGTCAGCTTTAGGCCCCGACCACGCCCTCATGGTTTTGTTTCTGGGGACGCACGAGCAACTTCCCAGTGGGTCACCCATCATAGGATTGCTCCAACCCAAACTCGCTTAACTTCGAAGTTCCGGTGGAATCTGAAACCAGTTAGCTCCCAAAAGGCCTCATGCTAAAGGAGGTGGGCATGTACACATATGAGGCATAAAGGATCCACTCCTATGGGCGATGTGGGATCTAACATTTGCAAATCCTTACTTAAAATGAGTCATTTACAAATTTCACATAAATGCACTTGTGATGATCGTTGATGCATTTCTAATCTCCTCTGGTTTTTTTTTTTTTTTTTTTTTTTTTGTGCAAGTGGTCATTTACCACAATGGTGGAAATGAGTTAAGCCCTTGCATGACGGCGTGGGTTTAAACCCCGTTGATGACTAATCTAACATCCATCTAACATAAAATATATCATCCGACCAAAAAAAAAAAATCTCCTCTCTTTGACATTTTATAATTCAGTCCTTAATAACTTGGTTTCAATCTCATAGTACTCGTAAATCATTTAGATATGAGGCTAAGTTGGATATCTTCCCGCCACTTATTACTCGGTCTAGTGATATTCCTTTTCATTTGCAAGTAAGAGGTCTTAGGTTCGTTTCTCACCAAAGCCGAATTTGAACCACATTATTGCTTAGCCCATTATGAGGCTAAGCCCATCTCCCATCACCCTTAGTGTAGATAATATTGTTTGTTCAAAAACAAAAAAAACAAAAAGTTGGACATCTTCCCAGCAACACAAATTAGGGGTGGGCACAGGCCAGTTGGGACATAAAGGAATCGGCCATGGGAGAACAAGTTTTCCCCAGATGTAGTTACCGTTTTCCTCGGTCATCTTCCTCAAGACGTGCGAGTCAAGAACCAGTAAAGAGCGCTGTGAAATCGGCTAAGTCGGACCACATTGAGTGGACAACAAGCAAGTTGTTCCCCTTCATCTTCTCCAATCTATTTGATCCCACAGTTTTCTCCGATTTGGAGCACCATCAAAGATTCAAACTATACAACTGCATTACCACAAAGATTGAACATTTCCTTTATTTTTCTTAGCAATCAAAGAGACAATATAAAAAATTGAAAATACTTGATGGTTAAGATTCTGAGGGAGAACTAAACAAGGATGAATAGGTGAAAGAATGGGAAGGATAAGTTTAATCTGGATATGGGTATTCCCATATTAGACAACGAATATCGAAGTTAATTTTGGGGCAAGATTGAAGGTTTAAATCTTCTTCTTCTTGGATAACGATTCAAAATTGAAGAAATTAAAAAGGACGACCCCTCGCAATTTTCGTCTTCTTAGACGGAGAAGATGACTAATTTGTCGTTCAACGTCATCGTTCATCCCTTCGAGTTCGACACAAAGAGAAACTAACTTCATCGTTCGTCCCTTTGAGTTCGACATAGAGAGAGAGATTAAGAATCAAGAGGGAGGAGAGTTAGTTTGGACTCTGGAGAGAGAGATTGAGAGGGAGGAGATCAAGATACGAGAGGAAAGACTGAGGAGAGAAGATTTGGTCTGAATTTGGGAGAGTCTTCGAGAAAGTAAACTGAGTGAGGCTAGGCTTGGTGAGGCTTGTGTGTTTGCGTGAGATTTGAGCATACAGGTTCAATGGATATGGTCCTGTCTTTAGAAATTTGGAACTGACCTGCCCTGCTTTGTTTTTTATATAAATAATATAGACCCGTCCCCAATCTGGCCCGAACTGCTAGTACTTGCCCCTACCCACGAGTCCATGCCCATTTGCCCACCCCTAACACAAACTCGAAGTTCCGAATATAAGATAAAATATTTGTAATCAATTGAACTGCAACTTCTTCCTTTTATATTTTTCAATTTGAGCTAAAATAGTTTAATAAAGGTGTAATAAGTTACTTGGGGCCTGGCCCTTCGTTTTTGTTCTTCAGGCTGAGGTGGAGCCCAATTAAAATTGGGCCTTGTGCTCGGCAACTTGTTTGGGCTTCAGATACAATAGCTGCAATTACACTCGTGTCCATTCCTCATGGGTTGCTGATTGGCTGGAAGAAGAATCCCACTGTTTTTGTTTCTTTTGTTTTCCAAGTTTTCAAGGAAGCGATAAGCTACTTAAAAGTCAAAAAAGCAAAATGGTACCAAATACCAACCGTCGTGTAAACCCAAATGCCAAAAACCAAAGTTGCTGTTTGTATCTTTCTGTTCCTCCATTCTTTTCGGGTTTCTGTATCAGCTCAAATAAAATAGTGAAAATATGCTGAGAATACCGTTATGTAAGATATTATATTATGACATGTGGACTATATAATAAAAGTATATTAATAATTTGAGAGATATTACATGGTGAAGCAATTGTTGATTTCTTTTTAACGAGAAATTCAGGCACTAACTACTACCCCGGTATATTTTATAAAGTATGATCTAAAAAGTAATAATGCTTGTATTTTTTTAGTAGAATGAAAACATATGAGGACCGTATTCTAGTATGAGGTTCTTTTTTTTTTTTTTTTTTTTTTTAAGAGAGACAAATGTTGGTAAATCACGGTTATTCATCTATTTCAGCAGCCGAGAATACTGACAGAGACATTTCAGCTCTCTTGACCATAGTCAAGCAAACTCATCAGCTTGTGCCTCGAGTCCGAGTCCACCTTGTTTTTTGTATTTTGGGAGTCGAAATTAGCGCTTACTGCTGGACTATTTGCTGTGGTTGTCAGCATGAGATTCTTTACTCAACTAACTTATCTAATCCAACGGTCCAAAACCCCTTTCATTTTCTTGGTCAAGGTTCCTTCCTTCACCCGGAGTCCAAAAGTCACTTGATTCTTTCTGGGGGTCATATTTTCTTTATCAGCAGCAAACGTTGAAGGAAAGAAACAAAAAAAGAAGAAAAATGGTTCCTCATACGATTGATTTGTTGAAGGAGCAGCTTCCGGTGCACCAAGAATCCCTGCTGCTCACCGGTCACACCACCACCGGTCTTGTCCTCGTCGACCTCGTTAATGGCTTCTGCACCGTTGGTGCTGGCAATTTGGTAATTTCATTCTTACCCTTCCAGACGTTTTATTTTTCATGATCAAATTTGAGAAAGATAATGCTAGATAAACTAAATTTGTAAACTAAATTTATAAGCTAAATAATGTGTTACTAATGTAAATAAGCACGTCAATCAACAACTAAGAAATAATTCAATCATCAATTTTCATGTCATTTAATTTACAAAATTTAATCTACAAATTTAATCATCCAAGCGTTAACCATATCAAAAACAACAATAAGATTTTGCCGACCTAGGCGTATCCAAGTGGGCTAGAGTTTTCTGTAAAGTTTAGATTAGAATAAAGATGCATTCAATTGGGATTTTAGGAGATTTTAAATTTTTAATGAATCGAGGAGTGTTTAATTAGGATTTTAAGTGATTCGTTAAAATTCAATTTGTATTCAATCAAAATTTTCAGAATAGTTCATTAAAATCCTTAAGAATCCAGGGGGATTCAAATTCAATAAGGATTTTTAAAAAGTTTATACCATTTTACGTGAATTCAAGGAATTTGTTTTAAAGAATTTGAAAAGTTGAGGAATTTGAGGGAATTAGAGAGATTTCGTAATATATTTTAAGCAATCACAAATCTCATATCTTCCACCGAGATTTCGAGGGAATTGAATTAAAATTTTATATATTATTCACTACAAATCAATTAAGCTCCATCAAAATCCATAATTTATAAATCCATTAAATCCAAAATCTCAATTAAATACACCCTCCTAAATGAACAGTAAAACCAATTCAGAAGATTTTGGATGTATTACTCTACATCTTAGTTTGGTGTCACATATGAGATTTGGACGGATAATTTACTGGATTTAATGTATGTTGAATGAATAAAACGGATACCAACTTCCACACGTTTTGGGATGGGGATGGATAAGTTTTCTTCCTTACTAAACCAATTTGTTTAACAAACATTGAATTCAGTGAGTTATCCTATCCAACGCAATCTTAGACACCAAACGCAGGCTATAAGTTTTTGTACATATAAAAGTTTGTATTTTTAGTGGAATTATATCATTTTTATGCATGTGGGAATTGGCAATAGGCGCCAAGACAGCCTGATAAGCAAATATCTGAAATGGTGGAAGAGTCAGTGAGACTAGCCAGTGTTTTCTGTGACAAGAAATGGCCTGTCTTTGCTTTCCTTGATTCTCATCACCCTGACATTCCTGAGCATCCTTACCCTCCTCATTGCATTGTTGGAACTGATGAATCAAATCTAGTCCCAGGTACCCTTTTTTTGTTTCTGTTTTCGATCTTTTTCTTTCCGGTTATTGCTGTAGCTCTCTTATGTCTTGTTATGTTAGTAGCTCTCTTTTAATGATATAATTACATACACAGACCTGCAATGGTTGGAGAACGAACCAAATGTGACACTTAGACGCAAAGATTGCATTAACGGGTTTCTAGGATCGATTGAGAAAGATGGCTCTAATCTGTTTGTTAATTGGGTTCAAAGTAATCAGATAAAAGCTGTATGCATTTCCTAAACCCCAAAATGTGTTCATCCTCTTGTGATTTTGCAGTTTGTAATTGATGTTGACTCGCTAGTTGGTCCCTTTCAGAATTCTATCATTTCTGTCTAATTTTGCTATTTCTTGTTCTTGTTTTTTAAGATCTTGGTTGTAGGAATATGCACGGATATATGTGTGCTAGACTTTGTATGTACCACTTTGTCTGCAAGAAATCATCGTCTCCTTGCCCCTCTGGAGGATGTCATTGTGTATTCCCGTGGTTGTGCCACTTTTGATCTTCCAGTTGAGATTGCAAAAACTGCCAAAGATGTTATAGCTCATCCCCAGGTACTTCAGATCAGATCGTTTAATCGTTACTCGTTGCCTTGTTCTGATATGTTATTTTTTTACTTCTCATTTTCCCTTTAGACAGTGTATAAATTGGAAATTTTCTTTAAAAGCCACAACTCTGACCAGATAATTTGAACTCACATGATTTAGGATACCTAAGATTGAGACAGCGCTGAATTTGAATGTTAAAATGTAATCCCAGAAAGTATAAGGTATAAGCAAGGGGAATAGAGAAATCTGTCTTCTTTCTGCTTCTTCTTGCCTTCTTATTTTTTTTCGGTTTGCTGCGTCAATCAGATATAAATTCTGTGTGTCAAAATGCCTATATGTGTCATCTACGTGTGTTCTGTGAGTTGATATTCTCATTAAGTCAGCAATGGATGTATTAAGATGCTAAGTTTTGAAATGATGGTAGATAGGTAATCCCATTAAGATCCATCGTCAAGTGGAGAATGCTGTCAAGTATCCGTGTTTCAAGTAACAGAGTTCTTAATGCTTGATATTTTGAATGTTTTTTCCAGGAGCTGATGCAGCACATAGGCCTTTACATGGCCAAAGGAAGAGGAGCGAAGTTAGTGTCAGAAGTGTCATTCGACACAAAAGAGCCATGACCCTATAGAGATTGGCATTGAAGCCTTCTCTTTCGCAAGGGGTGCCCGTTTCTAAAGAGTGAAAGGATGTTCTCTATATGTTAAGTGGGAGGTTACATGAAAGGTTAGCTAGAAGTGGTGCATGTATAGAAATCCCAAAAGCTTTACAACTATCGGTTGACAGCTTGAAGGATCACAGAATAAAGACTTTAGAATTAGATTTGTGACCAATAAATGTATAGGAAAGCTTTACATCTTTCACTAGTTCACTGAATAATAAGGCAAATTGTATGATCATGTATGCTGTTCGTGCTATTATGTGGAAGTGGAACGAAATCCTGCAGTTTCATGCTTCATTGCAACATAATGTATGAAAATTTGAGTTAAAGACCATGTTTTAATGGTAATAGATGGTTTAAATGCTCCTGCTGTTTGATACTTACACAAGCTACAATAATGTATGGTAATTAAATGACATGCTCTCCCAGAAAGAGAGGATTAAAAAAAAAAAAAAAAAAAAAATCCCGAAAAGGAAGGAGACCTAAAAGAAACGGAAAAAATGGAGGAAATCTGTCGAAATGCTGTTCAAAAGTGGAAACGAAAGCAAAGAAAAACAAAATGCACACAATGAAACGATCTACAGCTGAGATGACTTAGCTTTTGAATCTTGGTATCTCTTATGCATTGCAGGGGCCACAACGGAGAAGATTGATCGCTTTTGCTTCTTTGGTGTGACGCCAAATATAAATGACCTCAAGGGAACTCGTGAACGACTCTCAGAGTGAGCCAGCTGTGGAGGTGGATGCTTCTTTGATCCAACGAGCCTGTAATCCTCGTTCAACTTTGCCATAGTTTTCTCTATTTCAATTTGGAGTGCGTTGACATGATCCAATCCTGCTTGCAACTCATCTGCAACCTTGTTATTCTCTTGTTTCATATTTAAAATTTCGCCTTGGAACTTTGCAGCTTGGTAGCTTGTAAACTTGAAGTCACCATCCTCAGCACTTGTCTTCAGAGCCTTTGTTATTTCTTCTTGAATGTCGCACAAAGACGTGAATCTGCACTGCAGTTCGTCCTTCAGTAGCGCACCCTTTTCCAACCAAACATTCAATTCAGTTTGTATCTCCATTAGGTGCTTGTATATTGGTCGTGCATCTGATTTCATAGAATATTTTGCATGACTACTTCCGTCTTGTTTCTTAGTTTTCTCCTCAAGCTTGGATATCTCAGACTGCAAATCTTGGACGGTAGTTTCAAATTGTTGTACTTGGTGGAATGAAGCGCTAAATTTTAACCAGAAATCCAAGTTCTCCTCCAACAGTTCATCAATGTTTGATCGGAATTTTTCTTCTATTTCTGAAGTTCCCTCAAATTCGTCATCCTCTTTCCTGTCTGCTGAAATACTTGTCGGGGTCTGCTCGGTATCTAAAGCTTTAAGCTCTTCTGAGTCTTTACTTTTACCTAAACTCTGTAGCAGAAGATCCAGTTTCTTATGCAACTGATTTAATCTCTTCATCTTTCATGGCACTGGCACTCTTCAGTTCTTTTATCTGCACTGATGTTTCAAAGAGGTCGTTCTCTGCTTCGCTGAACTTCTTCTTCAGATCCTTGTAGTTCCGAAGAGTTATCGTGTACTCTGTCAATAGAATCTTTTCTCTGCCCTCCATCCCATTCACAAACAATTTCTGCCAATCTGGCTCATCTTCGTTATTAATTTCTGGAGATTCACAAACATCTTTTCCTTGATTTCCAGCGGAAGTACTGAGAGCATCTGTAGCTGTTAGAGAACCATCAGCAGGATTTTCTGTTTGCTTATGCTCCATGGACTCTTTGGACGGTCTCCCTTCATCCAGAGATTCTTCTTCTTTTCGCTGTGAAACTGTAGCCTTCAGTTCCTCATCCGACTTCGCTTCCTGCACTACCTTGGAGCCAGCAACAGGACTAACCGACTTTTCAATTTCCGGGGATTGAGAAACTTCTTTTCCTTGATTGCCGGCAGAAGTACTGAGAGCATCTGTAGCTGAACCATCAGCAGACTTTTCCATTTCCTTATGTTCGGTTGACTCTATTAACGGTCTCACTTTAGGTGGAAGTTCTTCATCTTGTCGCGGTGAAACTGTAGGCTGAACCTCATCTGACTTCGCTTCCTGCAGTACCTTGGATCCAGCAACAGGATTAACCGCATTTTTAATTTCCAGGGATTGAGAAACATCTTTTCCTGCAGAAGTACTGAGAGCATCTGTAGCTTTTACAGAACCATCAGTAGACTTTGCCATTTCCTTATGTTCTGTTGACTCTTTTAACGCTCTCACTTCAGGCGGAAGTTCTTCATCTTTTTGCAGTGAAACTGTAGGCTTCAGTTCCTCATCTGACTTTTCTTCCTGCAGTACCTTGGATCCAGCAACAGGATTAACCTGCATTTACTTCTCCTTCAAGCTGTTTCTGCAACTTGGTTTCAACAAGAGATTCCTCTTTTGTTTCTGATGAGCCTGTGACCTTGACCTCCTCATCTGGCTTCACGGCTTCCAGTTTATGAGAAATGTGATCGAGATTACAAGTCGCTTCAGTAAAATGTGTCTGGAGATTGTCATTCTGGTTTTCAACACTTTGGTTGAGATCCTGAACTTCATGCAGCTTTTCCTCCATTTCCTTCAACTTTTCGCTCAAGTCTTTCTTGTCACCGACGAGAGTTGCCTTATCACCTTCCAGATTTTTAATCTGTTCTTGAATCTCATCATTTTCGCTTCTTAGTCTCTTGACTAGAGCAGTCTGTGATGAAACTGCACTCTCTAAACTGATCACCTTAGTCACGAGCTCGTCAATCTTTTCTGCCATTTCTGCAACAGTGAGAGATGAATCTGGTGCGGCGTCATAGTGTTCCTTAATTTTCTCCCGTAACAACTCTAATTTCTGCTTCTGATGGGCTGCCTTGTCCACTTCCTGGTCCAAGCTTTTCTCATTTGCTGCATTTACAGATTCATCCTTTGCATTTGGCTTTTCCGGATTGGGTTGATCAGGATGAAACTCATTCTTAAGAGTCTCTAAGTTCTTCCGGGCATCCTTAACCCTTTTCGACTCAACCCTCGCTTCCTCAGCTGTAGTTTCCTGTTTTGCCTGCAATTCAACCAATGTCTGTTGGCATGACTTTAAAGCAGCTGCTGCCATCAAATTCCGAGCCTCGTTATCTTCAATGACCGTTCCATCACCAAATTCATCTTGCAAAACGCATACTTTCTCCTGCAATCCCTTTATTTGGTTCTCAATTTCCCAGTACTTGGCAAGTCCATTCTCGTACGAACTCTTTACAAACTCTTTCTCTGTTTGTAGGGACAGAATCTGTTTCTGAGTCTTGTCAATCTCTTCACGTGCCTGAGGTTTAGTCAAGCCGGATTTAGGAACTGTTTTAGCAGACGTCGATTTCATTGATCGCTGAGGCTGCAGCTTATTTTTCTCGTTGCTTTCGTGAGAAGACTCCTTAAATCTTTAGTAGGACCCTTCGGGGGAACGTTTGGGATGTTCCCTTTGAGATATCTGGAGGCCTTCTAGGCGTTTTAGTCGAGGGATATTCATCTTCGTCATCCATGGCAAACTGAACTTGTTCCGGGAAAACAGAAGCGATTGTGTTGTTGGCATTTTGTAGCTCTGTTGAAATGTGATCATATCGCTCAGCTAAGGACCGGTAAGCTCTGTATGTTTCTTCGACGAAGTGTATCAGCTCCGGTCTATTTTTGAAGTACATTTCTGCTCTCTTGGCAAAGGAGTCTCCATCCTCTTCAATGAGTTTAAGCACACTCTGCACCTTTTCCTCCATATCTGCAATTTCCATAATACTATACGTTCAATTCTCAGCAGACAGATACATACAACTTGTTTTCGGATAAGCGAAAAACTAAACATGACAAGCAAAAGTGCAGCAGCTCCTGCAGAACCTTCGACGACGATGAATGATTGTTTCAAGTTAACCAAAATCTAATTAACAAATTGTTTGAATCAGTTGCAGTATTTGGAAGATTTCAAATGAAATATGAAGGCGTTCATAAATCTCAATGCATGCATGCAGCTATATATTCTCTCATATTAATTATATTTTATGAACCAAACAAATTGAGTTAAAATCTTGTAACTCTAGTACACAAATTCTATCTCTGAATCCATTTGGATCAGATCCAAAATATGCAGATAGCCAAATCATCAAAACATATCCAATAAACAAGAAGCAAAAACTCGTTTAAGAGCGGATGCGATTAGTATAGGTTCAGGGTTCGATTTTCTCCAAATCTACTGGAAAAAAAAAAAAAAAAAAAAAAAAAAAGAAACAGGAAGGTAGCCGGGTGGGTACCTTGGAGGTTTTGATCGAGCCATTTGGATTGCTTAGTTCTGATGTGGCTGGCCCACCACCATGAATATGCATTGCTTGCAGCTCTCTGCAACATCTTTCTTCTTCGTCGTCTTCTTTCTCTTCAGACCAAAACCATGCAACCCTTCTTCTCTAAACCAAACACCAACAATATTAACTAACTTAATTATTGTTAATTAATGTTTAATTAGGGAAATTAAAAGAAAAGAAAAGAAAAGACAGACAGACAGACAGAGCGAGCTGGAGGAAAGAACGTGCACTGGAATGTGCGTGCACGCCACCAACTCTGTCACCTTTCTAATATTAGGATCATGGAGGGGAGCAAACCTCGCTCCGAATATTTTGTTTTGTCAAACCACTTCCTTTTATGAAAAACATTAAAACTTTTTATGTTTTTACTATACGATATTATTTAAATTAAGTGGATGTGAGAATGGACTACGCCTCATAATGTGTTAGCAATAATATAACTCAAATTCGCCTTTGGATAAAATCGAACGTAAGATCTCTGACTTACAAGTAAAAAAAAATATTATTAGAATATAATACTAAGTAGTTGAAGAAAAAAAGAATTAAAAAATAAACGGACACCAAATATGTAAAATAAAGTCCCTCAATGGAAAGAACACCACCCGGCAATGGCATGTTTGCTTTTTCCAAAGGCACCCATTTTCGCCTGGGCCGGCACAAGTGACTTTTTGCCAACCATTTGCCTTTCTCTTCTCCCTTTTCAAATTTTCAAGAAATTAGCAAAAACAAATATAAAGTTGGCTGTAGGCTGTGCCAGATTATCAAAAACATAAATAGTTACGTTGTTTTTCTATGAAAATATGATTAATCGTGTAACGAAAAATAAAGTTGAAAAAGAAAATAACTAAAGAAAAAAGAATAGTTAATTATGAGTAATTATTTTCTAATGAAAATTTTGGTGCAAAAGGTGTGCAAGTAATGTGTCACCGACGTTGGACTTTTCTGGTTAAATAAATCTTAAGGAAGCAACCTAAATTTGATGGGTGGGCACCCAATTCTTAAGGACTAAGAAGGGTGGACCTGTGGACAGTTTGGAGGACATGAAACAGACTTGGGTGCCCAAATCATTGGAACAAGGACCGGACGGGTATTTCTGTTATTTTTGGAGGGATGATTCTTCTTTGCTTTGGCATGATGACATGGGACTCTAGTCTAGCCTATGCCTATGTAGTTGTCTTGTTGTCTTCTCTCAAAATTACATATTTGGGATGAATAACAACAGCAAAAAGCCAAAAAGCAAAAAGCAAAAAAAACTTTATATATTTGAGGAATGCTTGGTTGAGTTGGTTGTTCAATGATAGCGAGAAATTCTTTTTCAACATATTGCATGTACAATTTTTGTTGGTTTTTTCTTTTTATTTTTTTTATTTTTTTTATTTTTTATTTTTTTTTATGCTTATAATTGAAATCGTTTATAGTATAAACGATTTTGTAAAGATCATTTTTGTAAGAAATCAATAAAAAATCAATGGTAACAAATGGAAAGACGGTTCATAATACTTTTACTAATTTTTATCATTTATTTTTATATAGTTTGAGTTTGATGATCAAATGATGTTATATTTTATTGATTTTTGCATAGATGGTTTTTACATAATGATTTATAACATTGGTGTCTAGGTTAATATTTGAATATTGGACTTGAATGAAGAATGGCCCAACGATGCCAAATTGAATGAGGACTTGCCCGAAGCCCAACATCAAGCCCAGAGACAAACTAAAGCCCTCTCAGCCAAGGCATAGGCCATGTGCCTATGACTGAAATGACAACTAACAGAAACCAGTTCACTACCAACCAAAAAGCACTTTCTAATGGCATAAAGGTGTAAACACATGATGACTCACTGCCTCTAGGAGCCCTCGGCCAAGAACAAAGCTCTAACAGTGGGGCCAAATCACCTATAAAAGGAAGATGAGACAACAGAAACAAGGACACTCAAACAATCAATCAAACAACATACAAACTCCAATCTCAACCTATATTTGCATCCAAAAAAGCTAAAACCAACCTAGATTCAGTCTTTTTAGTCATAGTCTCCTTAGAAAAGCTATCTTTTGTCTAATTTAAAAGCTCTACTACCTTCCCTAGTGTTGTAGTATCGATTCCCTCGTGTAAAACCTGTTTACCATCCATCCCTTTTAGCATACAATCCCTGTAAACTCAAAGAAAAATGGTTGCAAGATGTTTAACCTTACCCGACAAGGTGAAATCTTGCCTAAGTCTCTTTGTTTATCCTTTAATTTATTAGATCTATCGTTTAAATATACTTCTCAACATATATTTAGGTTATCACTAGTTATTTCCTACTTAAGAGTCTCATTTGCACCTAGATCTAGTTAACTTAATAAACCTATTTTCATTAAGAATAATATGAAATGGAGGAAATGGTTTAAAGGGCTCTGGACTCCCTTCATTTGAACATACAAGATCATACACTAAAAGTCCTTGTTTATAAGGCAAGAAAAAGAACTTAATGCAGACTTAAGTCATCTGTGACAGTCCTTTGATAACAAGAAGTTTGAGTAACTTGGGGCACAAGTAACCACTAAAAACACATCTATTTCAACATTTGGTATACTAAGATAACAGTGGCACGCCTAACACTTTGTTAATTTTGATTGTGAGCCTCAAGGCTTACACCTAAGGTCCCACAAAAACACCTTTCAAACTAACTTCAAACTCATTTTGCAGCATACCAAGTAGCAAGAGATCACCCAACAACCAACATCACCAAAAGTGTCATTCACTCTTAGGGAGTTGTGCGAGGGGCCATCCACCTTTGCCTCGAATATAGTTTTGGCATGCCTAGTGGGACCCATTTTCTTGTATGCCAAGAAGAAGAAGGAACGAGAGAACCTTCAGGTGGAATGCAGAGATGTTGTACGGGCCATCTTGATGTCTACCAAGGTCAAACATGGCAGACCATCAAGAAGATTTCCCTCCCTACGAGGACTAGCTATTCTGGAAAGCCCGACTTCATCTAAGAAGTTAGGAAGAAAGGTGACCAATGAAGACTTGCAAGTCACCATGGTGCAAGCGTTGAAAAGTATGGAGAAAATTTCTCTGGAAACCAGAGGAGAAGTGAGTAGACTCTGTTCTCTTTCAGAGAGTCTGCAAAGAAGATTTGATCTGGAATACTCTACCCCAAAAAAGGGTTATGCTAGGGAGGTGATGGGAGAAGCAAGTCCTGAGAAGGAACCAGTGATTCGCCTATTCCCTTTGCTTGAGAGAAAAAAAATAAAAAATAAATCAATAAATAAATAAATAAAAGATAAGGGGAAGAAGAAAGTGGAACCTGGAACCAATCAACCAGGAGTAGAAGAGATCCTAGAGGCAAATTTGCCCGACCGTTTATTATTTCCACCAGATAGTAGGGGGCAGGTCGGGCATAATGGAAATAAGTATGGGAGGACTCATCAAATTGGGTAATCCAGTGGGAAAGGTGTGATCTTAGCTGCGGGTAAACCTCCTTCTTATAAGCCACCATTATTGGCTGATAAGGGAAGAGAGGCTAGATGGAGACAGCCTAAACCAAAGAAAAAGACTTTCTTGGGCAATAATCGTAGCTAGAAGTGGGGACCTCCTTACATTCCACACAATAATGCAGCTAATCAACAACTTAGAAATGAGTTGGCTAAGCTAAGAAGGATGGTGGTCCAAAATGCCCAACCACAAGCTCACCCGCTATTCAGGATCACCTACTAGAAACCCTACCCCGAGTATATTGATGAGCAGAACCTTTTTCCCCTCAACTTCAAGATGCCCGCATTCCCAACCTTCAGTGGGGAGGACTGTAATGTGTCCTTTAGAGACCACATCTTCAAGTTTTTCAACTACTGTGTGGCATTTGAAGACAATCCTAACTACAAGTTGAGGTTGTTTAGGAATTCGTTGGTAGGCCTAGCATCTTAGTGGTCTTCTTTATTACCCCCTAATTCCATTACCAACTGAGGGCAGATGAAGATGGTTTTCCACGAGCAGTGTTATAGGGTAGAGCTCGAGATGACTATCAATGACCTAGTTAAGGTGAAACAATATGAGTACAAGTCCATAGAGGACTTCATGATGAGGTTTAAGAAGACAAAGATGAGGTGCCAATTCCTTATCAACCATGCCCAACTTATATCCATTGCTTAGAATGCATTGAGACTGCCCTTGAGAAAAAAGTTTTATGATGTGCAATTCAATGAGCTACAAGAATTCGTAATTGTTGCCATGAAGTATGAGAAGTTGTTGATCGAAGAACAACAAGTGAAACACTCGTCCAAGGTGCCTCCCTTCTACAAAAACAAAGCTGCAATTCACCAGTTGGAGTTTGAAAGTCCTGAGCTTAGAGAAAGTGATAACAATGGAGAAGAGGGAATAGAGATGTGTGCGGCCAAGATAACCACTCATTTCAAACTGTTAATGGTGAAGGGGTTGGTCCAGCTAGTGAAAGATAAAAAAGTAGTGATGAATGATGGAGGATTTATGCCCATGAAGCCTCCAAATTACCAGGCTTATTCTTTCAATTTGACTAAGGCGTAAGAGATTTATGAAGAATTGGTGTGGGCAAGAATCATTGTGCCCGACAGCACTAAAAAAATGCCTAAACCTGAAGAATTGAGAGGAAAGAAGTATTGCAAGCTACATTACACTTTTAATCACTCTATCACCAACTGTGTACAATTCAGGGACTGGATCCATGACTTGATAGTTAAGGGAAAACTATTGCTGGAGAAACCTCAGGCAAATATGATGATAGATACAAATCTCTTCCCAGAAGCCCCAATAAACATGATTAACCTGAACTAGGTAAAGAAAGGGAAGGCAAAGGTTACCTGGGAAGCTAGAAGAGAAAGAAAATAAGTTATCAGGCCTACAGAAGGAGTTAGAGGTTTGCCTGATAAACCACAGACAGTTGTGGTTAAGGGAGTAATGTTGTGTAGCAAGTGCCAGTGTGAGTGTGAGCTCGAGGTGCCAGCATCAGGAGCAATCATTGAGCAAGAATTAATCAAAAGAAAAGAGAAAAGAGAACATAATGCCTGCAGAGGTGTTGTGTAGGCAACAAAAAAGGAAACTGCCAAGAATGTATTCCAGAGGTTGGGTAGAAACTTTGAACCTAAAGGCTTGTCTAAGGTATTAAGAAATTATGAAGTCTCTGAAGAAGCTGAGGATAAGGAAGCCTAGATGCCAAAGTGGGAAGAAGTGAGGTCATCGAGGCCAAGTTATCATGGCAGTTCAAGGCAGGGATGGAGAGAAAAGTCTAGGAACTTAATTCCTCCAGT